GTGGCTGTCTTAAACATTACATGACTGTATTTTTTCAGGAAGATACTCTGTATGGTAAGATGTATGATAAATCTGATGAGTGAATTCTACAATTCCCCAATCCCCCTCACCCTACCCCACCCCAGGAAGACTTAACTATTACTAAAAGTTATATTAGCTCCAATAATGGAACTCCAAACACCCATTTGATAACTTATCCATGATTATATTCTGCTTGTATTCTGTTTTGGTTAATAAATAGTTAATATGTACGGTTTCCCACCTTCGCTTTTAAATTCTTGCTGGTTTATGTTTACCAGTCCCCAGTCATTGTCATTTCCTTTCCTGCTTTAATGTAAGAAAAAAATTACTAAGCCAAAGAGCACAAGGCTCTGAATTACTGAGGCATCCTTCACTTGCTTAGCCAAATATTCAATTCTAATGCAACTAATGCTGTTTTCAGTTATCCAACTGTTAGAATCTTCCTTGGTTTTTTTAAATAGATCACTTGCCCTTAGACTCTGTCAAAAGACAGATTCGTTCTGGATAGGGTGAGCTAATGCAATTCAGTCTCATTCAAATGTTTGAACAGCAGAATAAAATCGTAATGCAAAAACTTTCGCTGACTTTAGCAGCAAAATTATTAGAAAAGTAAAAATTCTAAGTAAGTAATTTTTGCATCTGAGTTATCCCATTCTTGGTCTGCTTTGACTCATTGGGTGCAAAGACTTGGAACATGAAACTTCAGCCTTGAAGTTTTGTCACTTACCTTTTTTATAAACTTTTGACTGATGTACTAAGCGAATACACTGTGAAGGTACATAAAGCTAACTTTTCTGCTTAGTGTCAGATCCTGCCCCATTCTTATGTTTACTGATACATATTTCACATTGCAGATGTTTCCTCATCTTCACTTTATTACTGGTGGTGAAAAAGGGAGGCAAAATTATGTGGCAATGAGAGATACTTCAAGAGATGGTTATCAATTAATTGTTGTTTCAGTAAGGTCTTGCCTCTTTTGTGCACAGTAAATTTTTTCCACAGTAATGTGCATGAAATGAAGTTTTATACTTAGTGCAATACCTGAGATCCTCACTAAATTAATCACAACTCAAGATTACAGAATTTATCTTTAAAATTGAGGAAATTTCATGATGAGGCTGGAGCTTCACTGAGAATGAAGACAGCAGGATCAAATACTCAGCTCAGGAAATACCAAAGCCATAGTTATCCATTTCACTTTAAATTTCTGTCTTTGTACACTATACAGCTGATATATGTTACCAATTAAAACCATGAACAAACTCTTCAAAGTAGTAGAAACTTTATCACATGGTCCAATTCAAACTTCACATCATATGAGAAATAAAGTAATACAATATTAATGTTCTAAACTTCTTTCTACACCATCTAATGTGCACCTTGTAACAGTTGTAAAGAATAAAAGATGCTCATGAATATGTAAACTTTCATTCTACCTTTGTAGTTAAAACTGCCAAGTTTTTAACAAATCAAAATATTAACTATGATTAAACTTGCTGTAACACATCTTTCATGAAATTGCCAAGCAAACAGAGAAACTTTCATTTATCTATGAGACAAAATGTCTGGGGGAAAGCTCTAGGAGAAGCACGACAGTATTATGGAGCTAACTGAATGCAAATGTCTTGTCTAGATTTCTTAAGAGACCAGGCTGTGCTGCAGCTTGCTCCATACAGTTTCAGCAATGGTTAGAACGCATTGAGTATCAACCATCTTCTTGGAAGTACTTTGTGCTGTGATTAGTGAGCTCTCCTGTGTCCACACATTGGTGCGGTCAACTATCCCAATCTTTGGTTTTACAGAACACAGAAATTGCATCTTTAGCTAAACTACCAGGGCTTTTGAGTTTCTTGAGATTCCACAGTAGCAAATTTTCACTTCCCAACAGAAACAAAATCTTAAAGGAACTAACGTCACCAACTGCTGTTACCTATATCCCTTAAGAAAACAGAATCACCTAAACACGTGTTGCATAAAGGAAAGCGACAGTTAAAGGTCAAAAAAAGGACAAACTGAAACTGCTAAGGTTTATCCAGTTATATTACTCACTGTTCCAGGAAGTTCAGACAGGCTTCCAGGAGTGACCAACTACAAAAATGAAAAAAATCCTAAGTGAAATGAAGGAGGGGGCCTACACCATCACAGGAGTATCAATTCCTACTGTCAAACCTTTGATTTACTTCTCAAATAAGTATCAGCAGAACTTGTTAGCTTTTACTCATCACAGACAGCATCGATTTGTAATTATGGTAGTTACGCCCTACCCAAACTGACTCAAAGACATGTTTTACAACTGAAAGGTGAGCACAATTTCAGTGAATTATACACAAGATTTAACCTGTTCATCATGCTAATATTATTTTTACTGATATGTTAACTCTAGTTAGATGATATATTCTTCATTAAAAGAAAAAATGATCTATACCTATTGGATTAATTACTTCTAAGGTTATTTTTGCTAGTGTCCTGATGATTGTTCTGCTATATAGATTAATGTTTAATGTATAATTTGTCTTATCCATGTTACTTTGTACTTCTCATACATTGAGCTACTTGGATAAAACTTGCCCAGTGGTCTGCTCAGTCCACTGTATAAATAACAATAATTGATTCACTATCTCTCCCATTACACATGTGGACTATTAATGATTAAGCCATTTATGGCATGCAGTTTCACAAGCTATAGATGAGAAAAGGAAACACCAAGAATTATAATCAACCTTTGCTTTTATGGTGGTTTTCTTCATAACACCACGCAGGGAGTGGTCCAGTATCTCTTATCACCTCCATGACCCTTCTCTCAGAAGACTCTTTCTGGACCACTGAGTTATTTTGTTGCTCAACAACTGCAAGTTTTGCCTGACATGGTTATCAGATTTGGGCTGAAGTGGCTTCAGAAAGACAGCTTCTTGTATTGTTATGCCTTTGAGAAAACTGAGGTCTCATGTAGAAAAGAAATCTTTAATAACAAAACTGAACTACAAAGTATGATACATTGCTACAAGGCAAATAGAGAACCAGTGATCAGTGACCTCAACTGTACAGCTGCAGCTGGCGTCTGTTGTTGCAGACCATAAAGGGACGTGGAGGATTTCTGAAAATTTTTTTGAGTTACAAGCCTAAGTCATTCTTAACAAAACAGTCAGAGTTAGTGACTGCCCTTTGGATTTTTTTGGAAAAGGCAAGAAGACGCTGGCACATTCTGCTTCCAAGGCTGAGTGAGGATTTTGCACTAAACAGCCAATATATAAAATGTTTAAGCAACCCCTGGAAGTAGGGTGAACTAAGTTCAACTCCAAATCAAATAGCTGTTGTAGTGACGAGAATAATTTTTCCCTAATTTCTTCCTTCTGGTTCAACATTTTGAATTCTTCCCCATCACTCAATTTAGCAAAATAGGGTAGAGAATTTTGGCCTGTTACAAATAATGACTATTTAGGGTATTTGTCAGGAAATTAAGAGTTGTGTGTTAAATCTGTTCAGGATTTTGAAAGCACGATTAGGCGAGGGCTACATTACCATGCCTTCTAAATCTGATCTTTCAGCACAGTGGTTGTCTGACACATTTTGTAAGATCTCATTGCAGGTACATGCTAGACAGCCTCAGAGCACAATTATTTCTTTCCACCATATAAAGGATGTTTTAGTCCTCCTTTAGATGGCGTTTAATGGTATTTAAGTATAGATAATGCTTAGATGGAGGCAGTTCTGTACACACATAAACCAGTACTTCACTGACTCAAACACTGAGGATTTCAGACATTTTTAGCACTTGAGCAGATGCTTTTATCATTCCTATCTTTGATAGTAATTTAGCCACTTAAGTCTTTCTTTGGGCTCATAACTGTTCAGTGGATCTGGACCTCATTATCCTGATCAAGAGCCTTTCAGCAGTCAAAAATGCATTACGACATTGGGGCACTTTCCTATAGACAAATAGACATTGCTTCTCCCTTCTGTGAATTTTGTATTCTGCACTCTATCACGCTTCTACCCTCTGTAACAAGGACTACAGAAGGATTAGTTGAGGCACTCACTAGCTAGCCATTCTTTTTTTCTGATCTTCATGATCCTTCCCTTTCCTGCCATCACCAGAGCAAAAAAAAATTTGCATATCCTAGTGTTAGAGAATAGTATGGGTTTTGAATGGCACTATCTTTTTAAGAACGGAAACCTATTAATTCGCTTTTATGTGATTTCTCCTCTGCAGTCCTCCTGAGATAATTTTGTTTTCCTTATCAGCTTCTTCACTGTAGGATATTGCAGGTGTCATGCTTTCAGACTAACAGGAAAGAACTTGGTATTCTCAAGTTTTTCCCCCGTTAATTGGTATTTATCAGTCATAAGTTAGAAAATATTGTCTCTCTGGCAAGCGAAAATTGCTCATAAGACAGAGTCCTCAGTGTTTGCATACTGATTGCAATAAGATTTGTTCCAGTAGGCTAATTAACGCATCTGCTCTAATAAATACACCCTGGAAGGAAGGAGCACAGGAACAAGAACAAGAAAGAAAAGCTGCAATTTCTAAGCACTTGGCCATTCTTACATGTGGGGGGGTAGTGTCTGACCCTGCAATCAGTGTATTTCTTGTACTGTAAAACATTACTCAGTGAAGAGATTTGGAAAGTCTGAACATAAATGTCTTTTTGACTAACAAATATCCCAGTATAATTGAGTAATGTTTCATTGAAGTTACTGTTTGTTCACTGAAAAAATTGTTTTGTGCTCCTGATTAAAATTAGCATTCCTTTAACGTAAAGGCATGCTAAAAATTGTGTGCACATCTTGGCAAACTGAGAAGTACAGAAATAATTTTAGGAATAGCCACACAAAATGGTTAACAGATGTGGTCTGTGAAAGGCCGCAGATTATAAATTCTTCTTTTTTTTTTTTTTTTTTTCTGTTTTGATTTTTGAAAGGCCGCAGATTATAAATTTTTTTTTTTTTTTTTTTTTGTCTGTTATGGTTCTAATTCTTACCATGCATTTGCGATCATCCACCCCAGCTAAATCCTCCTCAAACTCCTTTCCTACATCAAATTCCATGATGTAGTTTCTAAAAGTGCTTAGCGTTTTAATGATCATATGATCCCCATTCTGAAGGATTTCTTTGTCAGGTTTTAGCAAGTTTGCTATTTTTCTTACAGCAACATTTACATCTGAAAAAGAAAAAGAATTATTTTAATCCAGAGAAGTCTACCACAAAAAGAAGCTTGTAGCTCTTGGGAGAACTAAAATGAACAAAGATAAATAATGTCCAGATCTTTCAGGCCAGCTTTCTCATCAGGAATAGTCCATAACCTAATTCCTTTAACTTAAATAAGTTACTGTTTTGATTTTCTGATTACGTGGAATCCTAAAAAATACCATTTGTATTTGACAGTTAATAAGGCCTTCAATATTTCTATAGAAATACTAGCACTTTACATCAAATGCAAACGCACAAACGTGCATTAAGTACATTATTGTCTCTTTATTACACATAACATTTTTACTCTTTTTCAAATTATGGTTGTTTTTTTTAAGTTTGAAATCTGCCACTTACTTACCTCTGCAAGCTATGTAGTTTAATCTCTGTTAATGTAAGCTTCAAGATGGTAAAAAGTAGAGGCTGCTTAAGACAAAACAATTTTGCATAAGGCAATTCTTAAAGTGCATTCCTGAAAAAAGTATTTCTCACAAAAATGATTTATGACTGTACAAGAAAAAGTAGATTCATGTAAAGACTAAGGTTGCATTTATTGATTATTTATTAAAGAAACACGAAGGGAACCTTACCCAGTGCTTTCAGATACTCCTCAAAATTGTCATTGCTGACCATTTTCCAGTAACCATTGAAATCTGCAGGCATCCCCACTTTAGGTAATTGTCAAAATCAAAGTCTCAGAACAGTGTGTTGATTCTGCACCACACAGCTCACTGCCTTTCTTTGTGGTGAGTCTGAACTCTGGTTTCTTTTATCTCTTTTTTAGACCATGTAGCTATGCAAGTCCTTCTAATCCGATTATTGTTGAAGTGTTGCCTTTAAATCCTTCCACAAGGCTGAACCTCTGAGATTTCTAATGACAGCAGGATGACTTGATTTAAGCAAAATGAAACATTCGACTTCCGTGGAACTTCTGTGAGGGTACTGATTATCTGGAGATCAAATTTAACCATATTACTCTTCATTTTTCATACCACTCAGAAAAAAACCCCTGTTAACTAGCTTTAGTTTAGGATATTAGCCAAAGCTATACAGGTGCTTATCTTGTGTGTTTTTTGAGGTGAATCCTTCTTCCTTGAATAAGTTCCAGCTACTTCATGCCTTCTTTTCAGAAAACGATCATATAGACTCTTTCACTGAAAGCAATTTGTGTCTGGCTTTACTTTATCTTGTTCCACAAGCTCCTTAATTCTAGAGAACTACCAGTGAAAGCTGTTTGGCCAACCGAGGGCTCAAAAAGGGCCAGTTAGGTGGAAACCTGTATTAAGAAGCAGTAGTTAATTCTGTATATTGATAAATGTTACATCACTACTGAATGCATGCATTCAGTTAATCTAAGCAACATTGAAACACAGAACTAGCACTTTACAGAGATTCTATATTCTTTGAAGGTGTCTTCTGTCAAAAATGAGATACAACCAACATATAAGAGAATGGATTTTTCTGGCTAACATTAGGGCTCAAATACTGAGAAAGCCTCTTAGCTCTTTTCATTTATTTTTCCCTGTGTATTTTCAAATGGTGCAGCTGAAGTTCCTCTTGGATATGTTATCTACACCAGGGCTTTGGCAATTACTTACTCTTATAGAAGACTGGATCAGAGAAGCAAAGAAACCCACTTTAAATCTGGGGATGAGGACTGTCTGTCATTTGTGAATCTGGAGGCTTAAAAGTGACATGAATGGTGCACGCATTTTTAAGTGCTTGCATGACAGAAGATTTATTTCCATCTCTTGTCCAAACTGCTAAAACACAAAAACTTACTCAGGGTCCTAAAAAGTCAAAGTTTAACAGTAATATATATTTAAATATATGTAAAGAAAAGTTTGGGTTCATTTTATTTTGCTGCTTCAGAACAGTAAGGCATCTTCATGCTAAAAATCTCTGTAGTATTACAAAATTACAATTCAGGAAAGTACTATGTTTGACCCTTAAGTATTGCTAGAGATTAATATTTATTGTTAAGATCTTATTTTATTTTCAGAAGAAAGCTGTTCTTCATATATTTTAAGCTATGCAGCTGAGCATCCCAATTTGCTTAAGCACTACCACACACAAAACCATGAATTTGAACCACCACATGAATTCAAGAAAATTTAGACTGATGTACTTTCCCCTCATTAACAAGAAACCACTTTCTCAAGAACTTTACATGAAAAAATGCTGAGTCTGTGCACTTCACACAATACAGACATCAGTCATTTAGTGGGTTTACTGTTGTGTTGTGCAACTTAAGAGGCTGAAGCAAGTCACCTTCATTCCTCCGCTCACTCTCTTCTGTGTAGATATTATGGTGTGCAATGTAGGATATAACAGAATCTGGTATGAGATATTTTACACTCAATCCTCTGCACAAGGCATAGCGTATCTGTGTTGCACTAATTTCATTCTGAACCCATTCTTTCACCAGAAAGATATTGTGCTGAAATTTAGTTAAAAGGTCTGATTCCTTGATATACTGAGCAGGATCAGAGCCAGCACGGCTAATACAGACCAAACCAAACTTTTCCACTATTTCTTTGATGTGTCCTTCTTTCCAGAGATTGGGTGTCTTAAATGTCTGTAGAAAATCAGCCCCACAGAGCAGCTTTAATTCTGGCAGAACTGGAAAGACAAAAGGAAATGAGAGATTTCTATACTTGGTCAATTTTCTAGGAAGTTTACACTTAGAATTGGTTTTAACTCATCACTTCTTTTTTCTTTTTTTTTTTTTCTTTTTCTTTTTTTAAATCATTTACCTTTACTCCATTTTTCTTTCAAAAAGTTGTAAGAAAAATTCAGCTTGGATTTTATATGTCTGGTCACCATTAATCCATCACCTACTTCATCATCACTCACAGCATATCAAATATTATCTGTACAATGTTAAAGGAGAATTATTCCTCTGCTCAAGCAAGCCACAAAGGGGAAGAAGCAAATAAAGAAGATAATTATTTTAGCACAAAGACTAGACTTGCTTGAACCTGGCTACATCACCCCAGTCTGCCCTGCTCTCTTTGCTCAGGTACTGTGGGAACAACCCCAGCTAGCGAGGCCCTTGCCTGCTGCTGTGTTACCGCATATGGCCCCGTCCCTTAGGGAGCAGCTGCCCTACTGCACCCTGGCACACAGACACAATGTTTGCATACTGTCACATTAGCCAGAGAACAACCTAGAATTTCACCTGAGTTTGTACACCTGTACCATTTAAAACATGACGGACTATATCTAATCGAACTACCCTTACTGGTACAATATGCTAGTTAGCTGATCTACTAAGTTTTATTTTATTTTTAGAGAAATTTGAACCAGCAGAATATTATACATATAATATTTTGTGTGACGTGGTCATGGCATTTTTGTTCTAGTACAAAGAGATCTAAAGCCAAGTTTGCTGTGCCTCAAATAATGACAAAGAATGATACTTCACTACTACAATTTTTTTTGTTGTCTCTCCATTTCTTATTTGCTGCCCACTGCCTAAGCCCCAGGACAGAACTCTTTCTTTCCTCAAAGCCTATTCTACAGCGCTCATTGTTATACCATCTGAGCATTTTACAAACATTGACTAGGTATTTTCACAGCCTTGCATTCATGTGAAATGAAGGGGAAGGATGGAGGGATTGTCTCCATTTTACATTTATTTGTGGTTGTAAATGATTAGCACATCTGCAAGTGCAGATGTGCTCCTCTGACGAGGAGTTAGAGTGTGCCTGCAGGGCTGTGATCTTATTGGCATCACGGAGAGGTGGTGGAATGGCTCCTATGACTGGAGTGTTGGAATGGAAGGATACAGGCTCTTCAGGAAGGACAGGCATGGGAAACGAGGAGGGAGTGTCACCCTCTATGTCAATGACGAGCTGGAGTGCATGGAGCTCCACATGGGGACGGATGAGGAGCTGACTGAGAGCTTATGGGTCAGGATTAAAGGGAGGGCAAGTACAGGCAACACTATAGTGGGGGTCTGCCACAGGCCACTTGACCAGGAAGACTGAGCAGATGAGGCCTTCTATAGACAGATAGAAACAGCCTCAGGTTCACAAGCCCTGGTCCTCATGGAGGACTTTAACCACCCTAGTATCTGTTGGAGGAACAACACAGCAGGGCATAAGCAATCCAGGAGGTTCCTGGAATGTGTTCATGATAACTTCCTTCTCCAAGTGACAGAGGAGCCAACGAGGAGAGGTGCCATGCTGGGCCTTGTTCTCATCAACAAGGAAGGGCTGGTTGGGAATGTGAAGCTCAAGGGCAGCCTTGACTGCAGTGACCATGAAATGGTGGAGTTCAAGATCCTCAGGGCAGTGAGCAGGGTGCACAGCAAGCTCACTGCCCTGGACTTCAGGAGAGCAGACTTTGGCCTCTTCAGGGATCTGCTTGGTAGAGTACCATGGGATAAAGCCCTGGAGGGAAGAGGGGTCAAGACAGCTGGTTAGTATTCAAGGATCACCTCCTCCATGCTCAGGAGCGATGCATCCCAACAGAGCAAGTCAGGCAAAAACACCAGGAAGCCTGAATGGATGAACAAGGAGCTCCTGGATAAACTCAAAGACAAAAAGGAAGCCTACAGAGGGTGGAAGCAAGGGCAGGTAGAGAAGGAAGCTGAAGGAAGGTAGATATTAGGAAGAAATTCTTTACTGTGAGGGTGGTGAGGCATTGGAACAGAGAATCCTGTTTCTTGCCTGTCCTCCTTCTCACCCAGTTTTTGCTATGCCTTTTGGTTTTGACTTTAGAGGAAACCTGTGATGATGACTGATGAATTTTAAACTGAGAAACTTTATTGGAAAAGAAAGACTAGTTTTAATATTTGTTTTATTGACTTTTTTACATAAAATGGTATAAAGTTTGAAATAAGTACAGAAAATAATGGCCAAAAAGAATTTTTTGTAATGGAAAATTAAAATAGTCTTTACTACTTTCACACTAATTTTTGTCAGTGTGGCAATGTGGAATAATCTGACTTGTCACTTGCCAACAATCATTAACCCCATCAGACACAAGATTCCACTGCAGTCCAAATGCCTTGAGACTTTTTTCCTCTACCATCTATACAGATATAACAACTCATCCTTTGGAAACTTTTGTATAACCATGAACAACTAAAATGTATTATTCATGTCCAAGAAATGCTGCAATACTACAGGAAAAATGTAATGTATCAAAAATCCAGCAGTATCTTAGCAAGTCATAGGGCTAGGGAATATGATAAAATTGGAAACCCAAAACTGACAGTGTTTCCAGAACCTGCTGTACTTTAATGTCAACAGCAGTAAACAGCAATGCATCAGCATCAGTGGTGTAGTATCCATATATTTCATCCATTGTCTAACACTAGAATTACAATTCTAAGTAATCTCTATCATTTTTGATACTTTTCATTCATATATTCTATGCTTTGCAAAACCAGTAGGGCCACAACATACATCTCTGACACAGCTAAAGAGATGCTTATAAAACCAAGAATTAATACAACTCCAAAATAAGTCTCCTGTCTATGTGGAGTTACTACAAAATAACTGCGCCAGCAGTCATGCTGGCATTTGGCATGGCTTGTTTTTGGCAGGCAGCTCCAGTCCTCAAAATTTACCAGCTACTATGTTCAACTTTTTCATCAATTAGTTGTCTGGTAAAGCTGTATTGTTTTTAATGCTAAACAAAGAGTCATGTTTACAGTTATGAACCAACCTGAGTGCTGGTAAGAAAAGGAATCCTCTGTAGATC